AAAAAAAGGACTACCATTAAATTAAGGCATGATGCGTTGCTTCTATCTAGCTGTATTTCAGGTGATCGCAGTTCAATTGAATGAAATATGGAAGCGTCTCACAAAAATTCGAATAACTCTTGAATGGAACAAGCTAGATATGTCGACATTGCATAGATCGAATGAGAAATAGCTGTAAAATGTCGTTTTCGAAGATCATGATCAAGAACTAACTTCATTGACTAATTGATCATCAATCAAATCTGAATATACTTCGATGTTCGCGGATCTTCACTCTCATATTTTGAGAAAATCGCAGGTTTCTATGGGGTTCTCATTAAAATTTATTCAAAAAATAGTGAAACACATTATATTTTGAGAACGGATAGTACTAGTATAAGTATTTATTTTGATATGTCCATAAATTGCTGCAGACAAACAATAAATTCAACTCAAAACACTTATGAATCGAATGATTCTCATATGTACTGCTTGTTTATTTCAAACATCATTCGATCAAATCCATTCATTTGAAATGCTTCTTAAATATCACGAACGGGCACTGACATTTCAACCGTAGAATATTCGTGCTACACACGAGTCACCCGGGTTCGACTTCCGGTCAGTGTATTCAACTATGTTTTTACTCACATTCTACTCTTTATGTAAGCATTACTCTCATTTTCTTTCAGACTAGAAAAAAGAGCTATACTGCAACATTAAAGAATATAGTAGAAAAAAAGACTCCAACAAGTCTAGAAATCGGATATATCAATATAACTTTTTTCCAATAAAAAATTATTTTCAAGAAAAAAAAAGTTGAAGAAGATGGGAAAGAAAGAAATCTCTACCCAGAATATGATTAAAATTCTCAAAAAATAAGTAATAATAACAAATTGAGATCTCAGGATCTCACCTCTTTTCCACTGTTTTCCATTTTATATCTAACTCAACTTGGGAAGCATTACAGAGCATTACAATTGAGTCGAATCCATACTTTAAAAAATTCAAGTGTTCAATAGCATTAAGTCAAAAATTAAATCTACTACAGGATACAAAAAACATCAACTACTTATTATTCTCATAAAAACATGATTGTGACTAAATTTATTTGATGAAAAAATGAGAAATGAAGCCTCTATGAGAAGGCAAGTAAAGGCGGATGACTGAACAAAATACTCATCTTCTACGCTTTCCTAAATTACATTGTTTTATGAAGGTTTTTCACATTACATTTTTCCTTTTTTTTTTAGTTCAGTATTTTGAAGGAATCACTTGTTCAGTACAATAAAAATCATGAAAACCATACAATAATAAAATAAATACAATTTTTTCGGCGGTTCTGTCTTGAATATATCTTTTCATAAAATTGATCTTTGAAATGAGGTTTGTGTCAAAATTACAGTCACTGCTTATGCTATGTCACTAGAAAAAATCATCCCTAAATGCGGACTCATAGTGCAATTGGGTAGTAATCTACAATAGTCACTCGTTATTGGATAACATTTTCCGACCGATATTTTAAATTCAATTAATTTGATTTCCGCAATTGTTCAAAAGAACTGAAACCATATTCATAGAAAGAACAACACACAAGCTACATTTTGATAACTAAAACTGTCTAAAAGCAAAATGTCCATGCAATAAAATGCTTATTCTATGACAGATAACTGACAATGCTCATGTAAAATTTGACTGTATGTAATGATAATTTTAGAAAACCATAGATACAGTATTAAAAATATATTGTATTCTTATATTATAATGGTTTTTATGTATTGCATCAGTTTCAAAATGAATAAGATTTGTGACGAAATCGATGACTCATCTAACAACTGCATTGCAACATATAAGAAATGCATAAGTTTTTTTCGAATTTGAAAAAGATGAGAATAATGCTTACATAAAGAATATAATAGGAAAAAAAATTAGTTGAATACACCGGCCGGGAGTCGAACCCGGGTGACTCGTGTGTAGGACGAGTATTCTACCGTTGAACTACCAGTGCTCGTTGTTAGTATTTAGAAAATATCTCAAATTAATTGATGTGATTGAATGGTTTTTGAAAAGTTCAAGCAGTATACATAAGAATCATTCAACTCAAATATGTTTGAAGTCCAATCGATCGTTTGAATGCAGTAATCGGTGGACAGATCAAAATCAATACTTACACTAGTACTATTCATCTCAAAATATAATAGATTGTATCATTTTGTGGAACTCACTTAGTTTTTTGAAGAAAATAATTGTGTCTGTAGGTTTAAATCGAGATTTTGCGGCTCTCTCTCTCATCCTGAGCCTAAGTAACAGGAAAAGATGCATTAGCTTATTGAGCGGTAAAATCCATGTTTATAGCAATCTTATATGATAGTTGAGCCGACGAAACGAACAGTAAACTTATATTTGCTGCTTCTAATGGCATGTATCCTATATATATATATTATCTGGAGGAGAGTAGAAGTTATATATTGAAGATCTATCTGACAATACAAATAAGTTTTTTTTCAGTATAAAGATGTTAAATGAATCTGATAAATTAGTAGAATTGTAATTCGAAATGCAAACATTTTCAAAATGATAAAATTTTACAGCACCCTTCTCTCAACTATAAAAATTTGTTATAATTTTGATTTAAAGATTTATTTGACATTTTTTATATAAATTATTTCACAACAGGTGACAAAACAAATTAACATAAGATATTTATAGATTCTTCTAAAGTTCCATGAACATGTAAAACTTCAGCACTTGGGATCGAAAGTTGAAGAGAGAATAATAAAAATGATAAATCATGAATATAAGAATGTATTCTCATATGACTCCCTGCAACGGTCTCAAAGCCAACAATTTTGTTTCCCTGTTTAAAAAAAATTTACTTATCACAATTAACCAAGCATCCTATGCTGATTCTTGGTGCGTATATGTTTTTGTTGGACATGTTCACTATTGTTAAAATATTGTCAACATACAATTGCTTTTGACAGGAACAAAGGCCTTCTCTAATTATAATTTTGAAATATGATAGTGAGTCTCTTTGTTATCTGAACAAGTTAACGATAAAACAAATAGAGCCCGATTATGTGCAGCCTATGAGAAAGCTTTCAATCAGATTCACTTGTTCTGTAACACAAGGTTGAATGCTTTGGTATTGTATCATATTTCTCAAGGATTAGAACCATTGTATGAAGCTTTAGTACTTCAAAATTTGTGGAAAACTTGACATCCTATATACGCAATTGGCCATGCGGCGGGTCACTTTTAGTTCGTTATCATCATTGAAATTCTATATGGAGCTTTCGGATTTCTGCTTGCTGATAGTTCGACAGCTAGACATTATGACATTGTAGCGTGTACTTTCCGATCACTCGAATGATTGTTTCTCAGAGGATCGAAATCCGATAAAAATAAAAGAGATTCCGTTTTCAATTTATAAAAGGATATTTATTTTTGACGATTGCTTTTATTATTTTATCGTTCTACTATTAATTCAAAAAATCATTAACAGAAAATTTTTATCTGAAAAAATTCTTTTTCACGTTTCTAACTAAAAGAAACACTTCTTTGAAATTCCAGATGCTACACAAAGATACTTTCAAACACATATAAAATTTGAGCATTAACTGATTCATGTGAAAAAAAACATACAATTAATTCTAGAAAACTTTTTCATAGGTTCAAAACACGAAAATTCGTTATGATTATGTGTTTACAAAATATGCTGATAGGTCTCAATCTTGGTTGTGGTCAGTTGATGCTAAATATTGATTAGAGAGTTATGAAACTAAGGGAAGTCAATATCTTACATTAACAATTCTATCAAGATCATCGAGTACGAGAAAAGGACATGGCAAAACCGAATTTATACTCAAAGGTATTCTTTCCCTAAGTTTTTTTTCGCATTGAGTAGTTATAAATTTGATAAATTTCTACTATTTGTATTGTAGTCAATGATTCGCTAGTATTCTGTTAAAAGTTTTTCTTTCGTCTAATCCTCGAAAACTCGAGAAGTCAAAAATCAGTATCCGATACGATCAAGTTTTCAACTGCTGGGAATCCGATGACTATGAAATGGCTTCAAATAAGAAAACACTAAAAAACATATTTTTCAACTTTTCAATCACTTGTTGCATCAATCGTATACTTCTCAAAGTCTATTCGAGTACTATTTAACTCGTCACAATTCTCTCTACAAAACCATATATAGGATTTGTTGGTTTGCATTGAGGTACTAAAGTCCTTGACGGCCTTCATTAACCAATACCAATATTTGATATGCGAAGCTGCAATCGTATCCATAATCTTTTGTAACTGTTTGGTATAGCAGAATATACGTGCAATGAAGAGAGAATAGCCATTAGCACCTACAGAAAAAAATAGTTTCATTTCCGTCCATGAAAGTCATTTTGTATAAATTCATAAGCGAAGTTTTATTTCATGAGATCACCAATAGATATACAATTATATGATAAAACAAGAAAGTTCAAAAACAAAAAAACTTATGATCTTTCTTTGGAAAAGCAATTAAATATAACAATAGAAGATTGAACTCTCTTTCTTATATCAAAATCAAGAAAACAACAATACTGTGGATAGATAAGCTGATGCATAACAGCTAATGATAATTCAATAGGTTTTTAGTTTCAAACATTATGATTTTTTTCTAATCGTTTTCGATGACGTTTTTTGGCTTCGATTATATTCGGATTAAACCATTGGGAATATTTAAGAAAAGAACCATAGATAAATAATGCGTGTAAACCAGCAATAGCCAACATAGTTATAGCATTCACAAGCGCTAATGATGATGTGCATGCTTGTTCCTATATTGTGTCAGTTATATATGAACATCAATTTATTGTTACTTACGAACTCTTTTGGACTCATGACATTCACAGGTGTAGTGCTTATGAGAACAATGACTGTACTTGTAGTTTCTGTAGTTGCTAAAAATATTTACAAAAAAAAAAAATTTTTAAATATTCTATTCTTCGTGACATTAATAGCAGTTGCCCATTGCTGAATTAAACTAGTAAGGCTATAACTATAAAATCAAAAATATGTAATTCTTGACTTTTTGTTGAAGTTGTGACAGAAGTTGTTGTTGCCGTAACTGTTGTTGTACTTGTCGCCACAATACCAGTTGTTGTCAACTTATAAGTATGAATTCAAAGTAAATATCAATATCATAAATATTTTTTCACATACCAATGTATTAACAGTAGTGGTTGATATAGGTCTTGTTGTTACTGTACCAGTAGTTGGTGGAGTTGTAGTTGTTGTTGTAGTTGATGAAACAGCTGGATTCCAAATATCGAATCTCCAAAACTTAGGCTCAGTGATTGGTGATGACTCAGGTTCTTAACATTTCATTTATCATCTATTTTATAATTCCTTTTATGAAATTACTTACTACAGAAGTCAGTACCACTAGCCACACCTATTTCAACAAATATGAGGTTGTACTTGAAAACAAAATACAAAAAAAAACACCCTCACCACTATCGAAAGTAACGTAATATGTATGTCCTGGAATCCAAGGTGGAGATGGAATATAAAATGTAATTGTATTTCCACTGTACATCACATGAGGATCCCAACCACAATCAACTGTATGAACACTTGTACCAGTTGCAGTATCATTAAAATACACATATGTATAATTTCGAGATGGACGATTTACTTGACGAGTTGCTATGAACATAAAAATAATAAGTTTATTCCAAATAGTAACTTTTTAATCAAAGATACCTTGAATAGAAAAGATAGTATGATTAGCAAATATAGTACCAATTGGTGAAACTGTTCCTTGAACAGAAGAAGCTTGAATCAAATTAGGAGAATCATAACCAACTAAGAATGTAATACACCATTGATTTGATTGAACATCTGTATTATCTATAGCACCAGCACAAAAACCTTGTGGACCAAATTGAGTAGCTGTGGGAATCCAGCTAAGAATGATTTGGTAGATACCTTAAATTACAAAACTGAAATAATATAAAACTGAGACACTGAAAACGACATACCTGATCTAGGATTCTGAATAGTACTTTTTCTTCATCCAACAGGAGAACTTGTAACGAAATCAGTAATAGTTTTTCCAGGACAATAAACTTGTGCTATCACATATTCAGTGACATTTGAACCAATCGGTGTTCCAATACAAGCTGAAATTAGATATTATCAGTTGTTTTCATATGACAGATTTCATCAGATTAATAATGATTTTTCTTATATCAAGAAGAATTTCTTTTTTTAAACTTTTTGTTACCTCGATTGGGTCGATTACCAATAATAGCTGGTGGTGTACTACAACCAGAAGGCGTATCATAACCATAGAAAAGAAATTGAAGAGGTACAGAGCTCATTAGAAATGATGATATTGATGTGTAATAATCTTCAATTTGTAAGGCTACTGCAACATACATATTCGCTAGAGTGAGTGTGAATACAAGTGTACAGTTATCATTATATAATACAGCGCCAGGTACACCGTTACATACATCTGCACATTTATCGTATGAATTAAAGTTGCTGGCTGAGTTATCGGACCAACGACATCTCAATGTGTCAGTTGAATCTAGATCAGACATTTGAACAACATGCACACGTTGGGTATTGATAGCCTTATAAATTACAGGAAGCGTAGTCGCGACTGGACTATTATTTAAATAACCATCTGGACGAACAATAGTATTGATTCGATCGATAACACTCCAAAGACCCTTAGCACCAACAACAAGATTTGCGAACCAATTACCTGAGATGAAACCGATGCTGAATGAAATATTCAATGGTACTGTACGTGTATAATATATTTCACCCGAACTAACACTACCACCAACACTATAATCAGTGCAATAGGTTTTTGTATAGATCAAATTTGAGTTCCAAGTAGAACAAGTTCCAGAGACGCAGCTGATAGAAGTATTATCACCGATTTGAGTGAGTGAAGCAATGTATGTATCATCACAAAAAACAGAAGCCCGATTCCATGAGTATCGTTGACGAATTTGAATATCAACCGAACTTCCCGAAGGTGTAGTATTAAGTGGGCGCCTAAATAATATGCATTCATCATAGAATTACAAAAGATAAATCATTGAAACTGACCAAGTGATAGTACCACCACGGAAATGAGATGTTTCAACAAGTGGAATAAGAAAAAACATGAAAATAATATGAAATTGGTGAACCATCATTTATGTGATGATAGAACGATTAGTTTAACTTTACGAAAAATAAAAATACTTTTATGGAAAGTGTTTTATACTTGGTTCTTTGATTGAAGACATCAAACAAAAACACACGATGAGCTTTTTGTAAGGATTCTTTCAAATCAACTCGGTGTTGATGCTTATCATTGACGCGAAAAAATATTTTGACAGTTACTGTATTGTCGATTAAAAGTTTTGCTTTTTAAATATTCAAATTAGAAAACATTAAACATAAGTAAAGACGATATTCGTTTTTCATTTGAAGCATAAAGAGAAACATCATAGATGCTGACTAAATAAAAAACAAAATTCTTAAAGCCATAGTGTACTTTATTATCTTTTAGAAGACTTCGAAACAAAGTTGAATTGCATATCTCATTCTCTGTAATATTGAGCACTGAAATTTATTTTCTTGCTCGACAATTTGTTTGTGACTTATGAGTGAAATTGTCAATCATACATTTTATTGCCTTCGTTTCTCTTCTGCTAATGCTTTGAATTATTCTACGCATATTTAATGTAGAAGTAAAATTCGTATTAGTTTAGATTTTTCAAAAAATTAATGTGTCTGGCTTCGTACGGGTTGATGTACAATCATGAGAGACTTTATGATTTTGAAAAATATTTTAAGTCAATTTGATTGAGTAGTAAAAAAACTGTTCAGTAACTGCTTCAGTCTGTTATTATGTTGGAGATGAATAATTGGTTCAATTCGAAAATAATATGCTTTATTTATCTATCAGGTCATTAACAAGGACATCATTGACTATTTCAAATGTGTTATAATATGAGCAAACATATTAGAAAATTTGATGAACATATCAAAGATCGAAAATATATGTGCAGGTATTATAACAATCTCAGTAACAGTTATCATGATTACCACTGATTGTTTACATGACTCTTTGCTTTGACACGAATAGTACTAGTTAAGAAGTAAATTTTAATTATTCAGTATTTAACTGTATCTTTAGAAAATATGATGTGAACTAATAATTGTGTTAATTTTAATGTTCTTGTTGTTATAGCTTCAATTAAAGCATTTTAATTGATTTACCAGTTTGGTGTACTAAAGAATATTGTTGAAAACTATGAGTAAAATAAAGCTAAAGTAATATATCGTGTAGTATAAAGTTTTTTATCTTAATAGAGGAGAAAACTTGAAAAGATGTTGTTCATTGTTCCGAAGAACTGTGGTAAAAAACTCCACACGAATTAATACATTCTGATAACATTAGACTTGAAAGAATATTAACAATATCAATGGGTACTGATTGAATTATTATATGTTTCATGGTAGCTACCATTGTTGTCACGAATGAAAAAAAAAAGATTTCTGATGTTAAATGTTCAAAACTTTCGATCCGTAATTGACAAAAATTCAGAACTTTGAAAAAGTTGCATTCTCTGAACTAAAATACTTAGTTGAATTAACTACATACAAAAAACTTAGTTCTATATGGCACACCTATGTGAATAAGTCATAATCAATTTCATAAGATAATTGAATGAGAAATCTTGCTACTAATTAATGTAATATAACGAAGAGTGGACCAAAATCAATGGCGGCGCTTTGTATTTTATTGTTTCATCGCCTAATGTACATGCACCTTTTGTTTTCAAAATGGTGAAAATTCTTTGTGAATAACGTTCAACTCCGCGAATAAAATCTTTTTTGTTTTGAACCTGACGAATTTTTTTTCTTATTTCATATCAATTAAATGATCATAATTTTTTGATTTTATTCCATTGACCACGTTTCTTACTTGTTTAGCAATTCGAACCAATTTTCATAGAGCTTTAGATTTCATTTATTTTTATTAACTAACATATACAGATGTAATTTTTCATTATGAAGTTCGTAGGGTCCTCTAACAAATAATATTAAAATGAGTGAAAAAAACCATTTAATCGACTGAATAAAGGGAATTCGTTATGCGCCAATTAAATAACCTTTTTGTAGTATTCAAAATTCGGTTAAGTAGAATCTTGTCTATTTTGTAAACTAAAATTGCATCTATAAAATAAATAAAATACAAAACGCAGCCATTTATTCTGGTCCACCAGTTATTAAGTTTTATGGTTGCTACAATGAAAATTATTTTACTTGCTATTTAGTAAGAAAAAGACATGCGTGGCATTTCATAAATAATGTTCGATTGCCATCTAAGAAGATTATTAAACCGAACTTTATGAAGGATATCATATTGATACACTAGAGCAAATTTCATGTTTTTTTATTCTTACTTAACAATAGCTGAAATATCTTTAGGGAAACTAATAATATAAATTGACAGTGATATTCGTCTAGGTTATCCGCGTGCAAAAAAAAAAACTTCTACCACTAAAAAAGTAGTCCATTCGGGCCACCTGAAACAAGATATTTCAATTTACTCACCGTTGTACTAGTGTTTCTTTTTCCTTTCTTCCGCTTCTTCGCTCTGTACATTATAATACAGACGCACAAAAGATGATAAAGACTATAATACTTGTTTTCTCTGTTTGCACTATTAATTAAAAAAAAGAGAAAAGAAATAGTACATTTAACAGTTATATTAATTATCCTTGTGCTGGTTTCTATAATTCGAAGTGTTCAATACTCTGCGGTAGATCAATGTCATTAATCGAAACGTCAATTCAAATAAAAATATTTTCAATTAAGAAGAACAGAAATACAGACTTTATATGAGTGACGTCTACAATATTCTTCAGTCGTAATGGAAGTGAATATATTATATTTATTAGAAACACAAAAACCTCTCATATCCCTATGTCTACCTCTAAAGATGCCGAGATAAAAAAAAATGTTTTATTTTCGTCTTTGAACACTCTTTCTGTAACAGCTTGTCGACAACCTGTGCTAATTATTGGTGAAGAAAAACTTGTTTTGAAAATTGTTATTAGTGCTAACATATCACCAATATATGACCGCCTTTGATAGGCAAATAGGCCTTTTCTAATCGTTATTGTGACATATCACTGAGTTCCTGACGAATCCGAAAAAGTTAACTGTACAAGATAAACAGTTCAATGCTATGCAGTTTTTTGAGAAAGGTTCACATTGGCTCCGAACTCGTTCTGTGGTACCAAGATAAACACACTGAAATGTCATATAATGAAAAAAAATAACATACGTCTGTGCAAAGTGATTATTTTTCAATATGAAGAAGGTGAAGCCGAAAACTGTTGAATACAAACAAGTGAAGAACAACTCGAATCGCATCGAACGAAATTTAAAAGAGGAACTCTGAAAGGTTATATTAAAACATTTTAAGGATCATATTGTCTATGATTACCATATATTATTCCTCAAGAATAATATCTATAATGTCGAAGCCTTTTTATATGAATTCATAACTAAATGTTTATTTCAAAAGTTCAATGACAGATTTCAAACCATTTGATGAAATGAGAAAATTCTATAAAAAAGAGCCTTGTCTATGAAAAAGCTGTTGGGAACAATAAAAGACCACCAAAAGTTTTTCATTATATCAAAATCAGGATAAATACAAAGCTGTTTATAAGTTAATTGATACATGATAGAAAACGATGATTCAATAACTTTTTATTTGTATATCTAATGAAAGTTTTTTGATCGTAGTTGATGCCTCTGTTCGGCTTGAATAATATTCGGATCAAACAAAGTCGAAAATTTAATAAAAGAAACATAAATAGATATTCCATGTAGAGCAGCCATGATCAACATCGTTGCAGCAGTCATAATCGCCAATGGCGATTTACATGCTTCTTCCTACATTGTAATAGGTGTATATTTGAAACTTAAATTGTTTTTACTTACGAAATCTTTCGGACTCATGATATCCATTGGTGGATAAGTTGTGAGAATAGTGACTGTACTTGTAGTTTCTGTTGTTGCTAAAAATATTTACAAACAAAACTCTTAAAATATTTTATTTTCAGTACTATTGATAGTGATTTTGGGTAGATGTATTGTAGTACTTTCAGCTATAACTCTATTATCAAAAACTGTGCAACTCTTTACTTGTTGTTGAAGTTGTGGAAGAAGTTGTGGTTGTCATAACTGTTGTTGTACTTGTCGCCACAATACCAGTTGTTGTCAACTTATAAGTATGAATTCAAAGTAAATATCAATATCATAAATATTTTTTCACATACCAATGTATTAACAGTAGTGGTTGATATAGGTCTTGTTGTTACTGTACCAGTAGTTGGTGGAGTTGTAGTTGTTGTTGTAGTTGATGAAACAGCTGGATTCCAAATATCGAATCTCCAAAAGTTAGGATCAGTGATTGGTGATGACTCAGGTTCTCAACATTTCATTTATCATCTATTTTATAATTCCTTTTTTGAAATTACTTACTACAGAAGTCAGTACCACTAGCCACACCTATTTCAACAAGTATGAAAGTGAATTTCACAAAAAAATACAACAAAAATTCTTACCACTATCAAAAGTAACATAATATGTATGTCCTGGAATCCAAGGTGGAGATGGAATATAAAATGTAATTGTATTTCCACTGTACATCACATGAGGATCCCAACCACAATCAACTGTATAAACACTTGTACCAGTTGCAACATCATTAAAATACACATATGTATAATTTCGAGATGGACGATTTACTTGACGAGTTGCTATGAACATAAAAACAATAAGTTTACTCCAAATAGTAACTTTTTAATCAAAGATACCTTGAATAGAAAAGATAGTATGATTAGCAAATATAGTACCAATTGGTGAAACTGTTCCTTGAACAGAAGAAGCTTGAATCAAATTAGGAGAATCATAACCAACTAAGAATGTAATACACCATTGATTTGATTGAACATTTGTATTATCGACAGCACCAGCACAAAAACCTTGTGGACCAAATTGAGTAGCTGTGGGAATCCAGCTAAGAATAATTCGGTAGATACCTTAAATTACAAAACTGAAATAATATAAAACTGAGATACTGAAAACGACATAC